ACATATGGCGTCTTTTGATGTTGTTGTTCGTGCTGACTGCTCTGTTTGTAGTCGAGTCAATTCTTTTTCTTCCTATTCTTCAATGGAATACGAATGGTCAGTCAAGTCTGCCGACAAGAAGCCGACAGGAACGGGAATCCAAGATCAAGCATGCAATGTTCCGCCATCAGCTCATTCAAGAAAAGCGAAACCGTACGAAATACATCCGAGTTGATTCCACAAGCCTCCATCTGCCAAAACATTTGTTACCTCTCAAAAAATCTTCTAATACCTGGTTTTCTAATAATGCCTCCCAGATGTTGCACTGTGAGGATATTCTGGAGATAAGTCTGGTGAAACGAATCGGAAAAGGTACCACCAAAGAGGTGTGGAAGGCGACTTATCAGCAGAAAGAAGTCGCTGTAAAGTTAGTGTCTAAGTCCGTTGATGACATAAGGACGTGTATGAAAAGAGTACAAGCTGATGAGGAGGAGCGACGAAGGTGCTATACATATGCTAATTACAAACTGATGAAAGAAATATCACTGCTACTGGATTTACAACATTCAAATATAATCAAGGTACTGTATGAATGGTGGGTATAACACACTAAAAGCCCAATCACACTTACTGTACTGGCCCAGGGCCCCATTGACTATGACCGACTCAAAACGACTGTTGCCTTCACGGTTAGTATTTTAAGTCGGCTCATGGTCACACTGCGAACCTCCACACTACCTCCTTTGTGCCAGGTTTTGCGTGATGTCAAAATTTACCGCTGTCAAAGCAACCTTGGCGACCCCAGTTCGGTTGACGTTTCGATATGAAGACGAGTCGGCCCAGGTCCAGGGTGGTTTGGGCCGGCTTACAATTTATTGATTGTTCACACTTAAAAAAGTGGCACTGAGGCTGTCCTGAGTGGACGTAACTATTATGTGTGATTGGGACCCAAGAGTATTCTATGGAAGTTCGGAACTTATGTATAGTGGGGTCATTTTGGTGGCAATCTTGTCATGAAGCCAGAAAACAAACCTGTTTCAGAATTCTTTAAGTGAAGAGTCACAAACACATAGCTACAGTACCATGCATACAGTTTACAGTAGAGTCCTTATCAATAATAGTAAAAATTATTATGAGTACTTTAATTAGCCATCATTTGAAAATGATATCTGGCCATCTCATATGCACAATGTCTATTCGGTGTTAGTGTCTTCATACCGTACTAAAATGTACATTATCTTTGCCTATTTTAATTTATAGTAAAACTATCTTTCACAACTACTGTGTTATTGTCCCTCCACACTTCATAGCCTACCAAATGATTATATACTATAGGCCTACTTATTTTTTTTTCTTTTCTGTTCTATTTTGATTTACTGTATTACCAATCTTTTGATTTCTTGACAACTATTTTCCATAATTTGTTTAATACCAATTCTTCTATTGAGATGGCAGGCATTTGGGAGTGCACTGAGCATTCAGTACTTATAATACATCAGGAAGGGCAAACATCATTTCTTACCATTTCTTCCACCTTTCTTGATTTTTCTTGATTTTTTTTTTCATTTCTCTTTTTTTTCCCCTTCTTTTCCTTTCATTTTCTTTCTTTTTCTTTCTTTTACTTTTTGTTTCCCTTTCTAATAATTATTAAATATATATGATGATGATGATCAGGGATAGAACAAGTGATTAATAACATTCTGTTATCCAAATGGTTTCCTGTAGATCCTTGGATACTGCATTCTTCAAGATGAATCAATCTTTGGTGATGATCATAGCATCGTTTCTGTTGTTGAGATCGGAGAGAGAATAACAAGGAAAAAAGTCTTGGGCATGTCGTGGACAAAGCGAATGCAGGTAAGAATCAAAAGAACAAAAACGGATGTAAAACCCTAAATTATAAAAACAAGTGTACCTGTGATAATCAAAACAAGAAAGTACAATTATTTGAATTTATTTTGCCTATCTATATTGAAAGTATAATTATAAATACTTTATATGTGTCAAAGAGAAGCCAAACCAGTCACTTGTCACAAAGATGGATTTTTAGTTATTAATACAGGATCAAACAGTAAAATGAGAGCTAAAAAATGGTAAAAGAATCATTAAAATCCCACATTTTGTTATGAAGTTACATGAGTTTAAACATACAGCTGTTTAAAGAACAATATTTGAGAAATTAGCCTTTAAATTTTAGGATTTCAGGCAGAGACCATCAAAAATTGTTGCTTTAACATTGAAAATGGGGAAAATAACAGCATAGCATGATATATAGATAATAAATGTTAGTTTAGTGAAATAAAATACAGATTTTAAAAAATTTTGACATCCGATTGCCAGGATGTTTTGATCATTATCTCTGTAACAGGATTTGCGATGAGTGACTGGTTTGGCTAGTCTTTGCCACATATTTTTTGTAATTAGGCCTACTGTAATAACATGGAGGAAATAATTATTTCCTCCATGGTAATAATAACTTGAAAATACTGATTCTTTCACTTACTGTATCTGTAACAGTTGATTTTATATTTAAAATCACAGACATGACATAGTTTTTATTTATTTTTTAAAGATATTTATATATTCTTAGCTGTTTTTAAAAATGGCATTAGACTATAGCTTAATTATATAAGAAATTTCTATTTTTCAAACCTTGCGGTAACTTGAACTCACTTGACTTACAATTTTGATCGACAGAGTAATATGTTTCTGGCAAATTTTGGGTATGTTAACTCTAAAATTAGGAATATGCTTGTTCATAATTACTGTACCAGCTTTTAATGGATTTCCAATCATGGTTTGACATAATAAAATTGAAAATATCTATAGATCACATAGAGAGTTATTCAAAGAGTATGGCTAATTCTAAACTGTATCTTACTTCCTCATGTTGCTTGTTTTATTGATATCAAAACTAATGCTAGCTATATGCTGTATTACTTTCATATTAACAAGGCTCTTTAATTACACTTCAAAAGTTTACCACATTTAACTAAAAATTAAAATGGGTCTCTTTGGATCAATATTAGGTAGGGGAAAATTTTAGAATGTTGTCAACTTATTTTAACATGCTTACCAATTTGGTAATACAGGTCTTACTCTAATGAAAGATCCTTCCAATTGTTAAAATAACACTTTTTTGTGGTCCCAAATTTACAATTGTCATTTATTTTTATTATTCTAATTAGAGACCAAAGCTACTAAAGACCATGAAAACCCCGGTCCCAAAAGTGGTCTTTAATTGGAGGGAGACCTTAGTTTGAAT